TGTGAATGCTTGTACGAATGCATTAAACGGAATCTGTCCCTCAGCTAAATATCAAATTCCAATAGAAATATAACCATATCTCGCGCGGGTCACTTCAGTTTTAGCTAGAAATATTACAATATTGGCGCTAATGTGTCTCCATGTACCCAAATTAGTACGCATACGCTTAATGAGATACAATAATATACTTACTAACGAAACATTAGCAACAATTAAAATCATCATAAAAATGAATAACTGATAGCATCCAATTACGTAAGGTAAATTACAACCAACTTCCAAACAAGGGTCTGCTGAACTGAAGTAGCTATTAATAAGGTAAATTTGAAAATTTATACTACTGTATATCCACGCTTTTGGGTTTTTCACAGTGCACTGATAGTAAAACGGTGTTATAGACTGGCTACTCCATTTGATAATTAATTATCGATCATAGCAAGTCGCTTCATAATTAGAATATTCCTTGTCTAATACGATAAATAAAAGATTAGGAAATTCGTTCGACTGGGCTTAATCGTAGTTTAGTAGCTTATTAGCGGAAAGAGTAAAGATATAATCATGAACAAAAATATCATCGAATGACACAGTAATTTAGAGTGAAAGTGGTATAAGAAAAACTTGTTTACAAGGATAAATTGAAGTTTTATGTTGTTATGAGAGTAACTGGTTATTATTTCGGGAATATAAGTACAACATTCAACCAATTACAATTATAAATGATCATAATAGAACTAGTATATCAAGGAAAAAGAGAACTAAGCCTTCTTAAGTTAACAACGAGAATGCTCAAGTAGTTTATTAATTAATGGCATTGTGCACCACAAGTAAGGGAAATCGAGTTGTATTTATGTAAGGTAAAACGTTAAACCCTAATTTTTTGTATATAATTGTACGTGTAAACATATTTTATATCAAAGATCATATAATAAACTATCTAGCAATTATATTATGTACTTACTGATGCTAATAAATACAGTCCTAGTAATACATGCAATATATATGTACGCCTATATTGGTAGAAGACGTAGTATAGCAGTATGATATATAGCAGTAAGTAATCCAAAGTCTCTATAGTCTACTGTATATAGTTCATGGTATTATTGATAGCCTTACTCTTCATTTCTGATGAATGGTAGTAAGAACCTTGCTTTTATATACCCGACGTCACCTTAGTAAACATAGCGTCTGTTGTATGCGAAATACAGTACCGACACATAAATATCTGAGCAATATTCCTCGTTGTATTTAATATGTATAATGGTATATTGTTTAGAAGCACACATCACATCATCTATGCATACTCAATATAAACTACGATGCACAATGCTCGTATCCTTTTCAGACTTGCCATCATTATAAATATTTTTGATCATCTGTAGTTGATTCGAGTATCTGCACTAAATTACTTCGATATTTATTGATTCAAAATCCGATTAACAATTAGAAGTAAATTTTGCTCCATGTGAATAATTTAACTTGTCGAAGTGCTCTGAGAAGTAATTAAAATATTTTCACTACCTTTTATGATGCTGTTACAGTGTTAAATACTGTATTACAGTAGAAATATCTATGTTAGGATAATTCTGTTAGACTATCCTTATTTAGTTAATTTCTAATTTGGATATACTGTGTTTTAATATAGCACTGACTTTTTATGACAGTGACACTTATACACATACTGAAATTAATAGTTATAATAGGGAATGCAAATCATCTACTTACAGTTCGAATCATTATATTGTAATTTACTTATGGTAGATTGTAAATTATCATGGAAATGTTCCGTGATGGGACATATCGTAATCTGACTATTCTGTATTAGTCATTACATGTCTATATTCGTAAATACTGTTGTCTGCATTAAGGGAGCAGTAGCTAAACTTAATATCTAATTCAGTAAATGATTCCGAGGTTAATTGTATTAACTATGACTCCTAAACTATTGAGGAGTAGTATATAAATGCAGTATATCGTGAAATAAAAAGAATTCTCCAACTTAGTTAAGTCTTTGTGTAGTCTGCTAGTAGAGCAAAAGTGTTTGTGATAGTGCAGATATCGTTCCTTGATATGTGGTTCGAGGAGTTGACTTATTGATCGTATATTACGTTATCTTGTTGCAAAGCTGTTTGTGACAGATGCCAACTCTGATATAGAGATTAGAATTATAGACCAACTACGGTGCTTCCATAGCACAATAAACAAATAAGGAACTTTAAATTACTTATAATGAAATTGGAGTTTTTACTCAGTAAGGTTTGTTCTCATAACTCTCGGTCCAAAGGGATAATTTTACGTAAATTAAAATATGCAACCGATCCTTTACTTATATTGATCTGTATGGCCACAAAGTACCTCTTCTCTTTGATAAAAATACCTTTTCGAAACTGTTCTTTTTCATAACGATCTCTATTAATCTTTTTGGTTGCTGATATTCTTATTATGGTCAATTTGGGGATTAAAATGTATTCACAACAGATACTAAGTAAACATAACGTAACTCATTATTTATAGGGTTGTACTGTACAGTATGGTAAGTTCTAGATAATTAGATAAAACGAGCGTATACGCTATTGTGGCTTGTTTCGATAAGGTATAAAAATCTTAGGTATGAAATGAAATCGTCTTGAAATAGTGTACAGAAGTCTCAACTTTTTAGCATTTCTGATTGTTAAGATATATATAAAGAAGTTTTCAATACTTTTAATACATTCTATAATAATGGATAATCGTGTTGTTACAATACAATAATATGTAAAAGGATATTACTTCGGTATACATATTATGCGCGACTAAGTTATTCTTTAGAAAATATGATAAAAAGATACTTCGACTTGCGCAATACAGAGGAATTAGACTGTTTTACATTGTGACGATACTATTAGAAAAATTTTGATATAGCTTTTGAATCCTTCAAATATCGATATTTATTTTTTGGAAATGAGAAAGGATTTACGGATTTCTTTTATCATAAAGAAATTAACGTTTCCCCTTTCGTTTCTATTATCACGCACACTAGGAGGATATCGCAGGATTTTTACCCAACATTTTGTCTCCAAAATATTTAAGGCATAAGAAATTGATTTTACGAAGAACGTAATTTCATGTTTAAAAATGAAACAAAAAGGAAGGATAAGCATCATATATGAAATGCACGTTCTTCATTCTTGACTTGGTTGATCTGTAGCACAGAGATTGTACAGATATCTCATAATTTCTTAAGTGTGAACTATAAATAGGAACAGGATTGTAATCTATCAGCAATCGAAATTGAATATATACATTTTTACTATTTTTAAAGTCATTCTCATACTTCAATACATACTTGTATACAATATGATTCAATACACGAGATGATTTCATAAATATTTTTTTACTCGCAAGTATTAGGATCTTAGGAAATTTAACTTTTTTAAATAAGAAAGATCATAAATCCATAATATGTCGTTGCATTTATATTTACGATTATGTGTATAGCATCCTACGAGTGCACGAACTTTATAGTTCACCTTATAAAAATGAATAATATTCTAATTTCAGCTTACTAGAATTCTTTATCAATAGGGACTTCTTATAATTTGTGTATAGTTCTATCGTATAATTTAATTATCATCATTTTACTTATCAATGCTTTATGATAGCAATTAATGACAGAATATTATAGCACACATCATCATGCTTCTATGGTTTATATCATGTCCACGGGACTGTATCAAATGTTAACATTTTGTGAGCACGTCGAAGAAATTATATATATACACGTTCTATACAGCAGATACTATACACTTTAGGTATATACCCGATTACAGTAAATGCTGTCATTATTTTCAGAGTAAATATACTTAAAATTGGTATCAATAGTTATCGATATAATTAATTAAATATACCGTAATGCGTATTATTAATTACTGACGGGGGTAGCAATAACGAGACCGACGCGTAATGTTATGTGATAGAGCTTAAGAACGTAAAGGAACGGAGTACACTTATTTTGCATATATTTTATTACTTTTCCTTTATTCTTAATGTTAGTAGCATAAAGTCACATCGTAAATATTTCTCTCATCATCAAATCCACAAGTGCAGTATATGTAGAACATAAAGCTAAATGTTACCGCATCTAATAATCATAATAAGAGTAATAATTTAAATATACATACAATAAAATATTATATTTTTACTCAGTATACTGTAATATACATACTACTATACAAAACATAAAGAAATAGTAATGTTATGGTCCTGTAATACGAGATCATTACACGATTGATAGCTTGCTCAATGATCTGTAGTTCATAGCAGTTTGTAGTAATGTACTATGTATCACAATTTTGTTTATAGTAATAAATATATTGAATTAACTGTGAATAATATCAATAATTTATTATACCCATCTTTTGCTAAAACTGAATAGTGAATAGACCGGAACCATATTAATATTAATTAGAAGACAATCTTGAGATCAGTCGCCACGATTTTTTAGACAATGTTTCGAAGTCTTGATGATAGTATATTCGACTAGTTTCGGCGATAACAACATTAGACTTCTAAAACATACTATTATTAAGACGTAAATGTATATGTATTATTTATTAATCCATCAAGTCTCTGAAGATGATCCACTTTGTCTCTTTGTTTGATATTTAACTTAACAAATTACGAATGTGGTATATATTCACAAATTTATTACGAAATATGATACTTCTAATAAAGTAGAGAGTTGATGTGTTTGTGATCTTATATCCTAGAATCTAAATTTATTTACAAGAAAATTTTCGAGGAAATCCAGTTTAGCCATAACACTCTGTTTTATAGTTGTGTTCAAACATCAGACGCCTATTTTATGATCCGTGGAAAATATTTTGTTCGTATCCCTTAAAACTGTTAATAACATCTGAAGTTATAAGGAACTCCTTTCGCGTATGAACTGTAGTTTCATTTTTATATCATAAAATTTGATTTCTATCCTATTCTCGTCTAGTAACTAATGTTATTGTGCGGTAATGAGTCCGGAAGGCAAAGCTTTAATGGAAGCAGTATCTAAAGGACAATTGCGCTTAGCTCGTGTACTCATTGACGGAGGAGCATATATTAATTCCAAAGATGAAAACAAGCAAACTCCTTTAATGGTAGCTTGCAGAAATAACGTTAAATGGACTGAATCTGGAGAAAAAATGATCAAGTTTATTCTGGACAGAAATGCTGACCCGAATTGTACAGACTATCGTGGTAATACAGCAATTATTTTAGCTTGCCAAAATTTTACTAATGCGAATATTATTAGGATGCTATTGGAACATCACGCGAAATCGCAACTGATTAATCATGACGGCGATACAGCATTAACATCAGCCATAAGAGCCAACAATACGGACGCTGTAGTAACATTGCTATCGTATTTTAGAAATAACAGAATATCATTAAGGAAGGACGAACGAAAGCTCTTAGAAAGCAAGTACGGTAGTCATAAGTTAAAAGATCTTGTTGACAAGCTGAAAATGCAGCCGAATAGTGAACTAATAGAATTCAGTCAAGCAGACAGATTAGATTATCGTGATTCTTCTGTCTTCTGTAATAATTCGAGTCAAGGACTTCAATCATCCGATATTTCAATAGTAACCGAAAGCACGAATTTTTTTTCGATGAGCAGTGAATATTGGCATAATCGTAATTCTGCCATTATAACTGATACTAAGAGTAGTCAAAAATTATATGGATTATCAACTGAAAAATGTTCTGAAGATCTCGTAAACAGGCCAAATAGTAGTGCGCTGCCACAACTACAGAGAAAGGATCATCCAGAAATTTATTCTAATAATTTCAGATCTCGTCATAACAGCGATGTGGCCACTGATGCACTACATGGCAAACCGCATAAATTAACGTTTTATAACGATCAATTGCCGCACAGCTTGCCCTCTGAGCCTTTATTTTTATTTGATCAAGGGATACTGCAACACTCTAGCTCAATGAACGAGCGAAACCTTTTTCACTATCAAAATGAACTGTCAAAACATCCATTGCATCCCCTTGAGTCGGAATCGCGAATCAAGCGAAGAAATACACTTCCACCTCTACGCTCAAAGGCTTTAATGGTAGAGGAAAGACCCTATAGTGATAATATTAACACTGATCAAATATCACCGACTAGCAAGCAAAAGTCTTACCAAAAGTATAAGATGAGAAACGTTGCCTTTGATAATGATGAATCTACTGTAATTTAAGTTATATCATTTGTGTTAAAAATGCGAGTATCCTAAATACCTCTGTAAATCCTAGGAAACTATAAGTTTCACCATAGATTACATCTTACCGAAAGTTTGAAAGTGACACTATCATGAACATTCTACGCCTTCGCAGCTTTTTATGTGGGTTTATGTGGCCTATGGACTTAAGTAATCTATAGCGAAATCTCAGGTTGTATATACAGAATGGCAGGAAATGCAGTTTCAAATTTAGATTGTCACTACACATGGTTGAGCATCTTAGTATCGGCTATATCAAATATTCAAGCAAAGTAGCACTAAAGGAGTAGAACTTTAAGGTGCCATTTACTATGCTAAGCGGCTGTTAGCGTCCATAAGCTCTTCATCGATCATCGCTTGGTCTTTTTATTTCGATTTTTTTTAACAGTGTGTAGCCTCATAATCTATTTAGAACCTATTATGGGCTTAAAAAACCTAGTTTCAGGTGGCGTTATGCTTTCGTAGTTAGCAATATATTGTAACTACTTGTAGGTACACCATAAAGTACTTCTTAAATCGTTACGGAAATAGTATGTCATAAGCCGTAGGTTTATGCTATATAATACGTAATAATATTATGCAAGAACCGACGTAGAACTGCAATTTTATCTTGCATAAACACTAAATATTTTTATTCGTATAGCAACCTATAGCCGCTGCTAGTATAGCAGGTATTATCTTCAGCCGAATAAAGTCACTTCGAAGCAAGCAGGCTTTATGCTAGTATGCTTTAAAGCTATTCGACTGTCGTTAACTACTGAATTGATAGATACGTTATGTCCATGTTACCTATCATTAATATGAAAGGTACGTTAACTTTTAATTTTTCCTGTAAATCTCTAGGAGACTAGAACTGTCTTAGGCTGGAATCGCATAGTCTGTATCGAAATAAGAGCGTTACATAGTAAGATCAGCTATTTAGCAACTACATTGATCTTTTGAATGGTGTTCAACTGTTTATTGATTTATACAGATGCAATTGTTTGTTTCCTCTATCCCCATACATATGCGTATATTCGTTTTCTAAGGTATAGAAACTTGATATGATGGTATGATCATATTAAATTTCAATAATTGTTGATACGATATACTGTATAACCAATCTGTAAACGAAGACTAAATAAATTCGAATAAAAGTATGCAGTATCTGATTGATTACTTAATTAAGTAATCAGAAATAAATCTTTTAGATTTAAAAATGTTAAAATGATATAAAACTATAATTGTAAGAACATTTATGAAGACTAAAAGAATTATCATGCTTTGATACGGAAATTTGCATACACGTTCAGGACTAAGGTTATGGAGGCTCTAAGCTATAGGAACACTATTTCAAATTACTACTTTAATTGGTACGGTATATTAATTAATTTTATGAAGCAGCACATTTCGCTAAGTAATTATTAAAGTTTATGAACACTGTTTGCTCCAGAAGCCGGTATGAAAGTTAATGTAGTCATTTTGACGCTTTTACTATTAGTACGCGCGAATATACATACACGCGATGTGACTTCGATTCACAATGGATGGTAGTTAATATACTAGATCCTTTATTGATAAGGAATTTCAATTGAGCCACGATTTATTGGATTGATCTGAATTTTTACCTTCGTTAATATATGTTATGCTCGAAACATCATAAAGCATGTTTTATAATATTCGGCATCTGTATAAAATTCAGGTTATGACATTAGAATCTGAATAGATAACTATTTAAGAGTGAAATATATTTATTTCGGATTTAAATTTAAAATGTTTCGGTTACCAAATTTACAACGGTACTGAATCACTGATGGAGGGTATACGAGCTAGTATATAGCCAGATTTACTGGAATCTTGAGAGATTGACTGCTATCGAAAATGTGATTAGCTCGGCTATAGTAGTGATGCGCCTACAGCCAGTTACTCAGATTTGTTGCAAGGCTATCCTATGTCGCCTACTGCGATGATAGTACTAGAACTGTAATTAGTATTTTCTTTAAGATTTCTTAATTAGTCGCAATATTGCGATATGTGTCGCGAAGTTTAAATTCATTCTATAAAGAAATTTCCATCACTGAACGTACATATGCGTACATTTAAATCAATTTGATTACGAATTCGGATACAAAAATTTTTTAACACAGAAGTGAAACGACATTTCAGACGCAAAGTTTTGTATATTGTACAATCGAGTCTTTTAAATTTATTCGTCTTTATTTCTGATCCGCTTTAGTAAATTTAGCGCATGTGCTTTTCGAGATATAACATGGCAGATTTTATTCCCTAAATTGAATATCTCACTAAAGCACTATTACAGTCTTCCATCCATTATCTAAAGCTATAATACTAAAAGTCAATCTGTTTACAATGGGTATAAGTATAACTCTGAATAAGTACTAAGGCAGGAGATTTCCTTATTAATGAAAGATAAAATTACGTCGATACTGCTTTACGAAGTATTTAACCGGCATTGAAAGGTATAGGTAAGGGACAGATATTTAGGGTATCAATCGCTACATGAGCTCAGCCGAAAATTGTAGTCCAGATTCCGAATATACGAAAATGTAGACACTGTCCGTGTATGGAGCCCGTACAGTAATAGAAATACTATTTTTCATAAGTTATCATTGCAAAATAAGACTGCCACATGAATTTCGATAAAAAATTTAATATGTAGTGTTATGCGATCTTTTTTGAACACAAAATTAACTAAGATAATGCAACAACATGGCAAGTTAAAGTTACATAAATTATAAAAACATCTGAGCACTCGTGTAACTTAATTGCGAAAAGATAATTTTTAATACTTCTAATAGGAAATTAGCGTATATCTTAATGTACTTCTTCATGATAAGAACACAACCACCAACTGCAAGTGGCAAAGCTTTAAAGTTTGACTATAAATGATGCTATGGTTAAGTGATATATTTGACTAGTGCGAAATCTAGCAAGTTTGGAAAATTTTGTACATGCGTACTTGCGAAATTGTTGCTCGACTACAATTTTAAGTAGCAAACGCCATACTAACAATATTATAAAGACATGGTACACTAGCAAATTAATTAAACAACCCAGTGCAAGTAATAACCGATAACTGCTGATTATGTGAAAGTAAGTTCTATCCAGTATTAATGTCGGCGCCGAATATCATTTTTCGAGGTAGATGAATTGGTATCCGAATGATTCTTACCACTTGTATTATTTTCAGTATGATTCAAAGAATTCTGCTTTCGAAAAGATATTTTACTCTTGTTAATTTCCTTCAAATGATATATTCAAGAATACTACACATACCTGATGAGTTTCTTTCGTAATTATTCTATCAACTGTTTCTTCTTCTTCATCTTCTCGAGAATCCCGGATTTCTTTCTCCAATCCAAATGCAATTTTGATTAATGATGTCGATATAAACCCAAACCAATATATATTCATGGCGAAAAGTATCCATAACAAACTGTTTAGGCTGTAATAGAACGGCCCATCCGGGATTATGTAAGCTGCTAAATGTCCAGCGGTATATAAAACTTTAATAGGGTATAAGTACAGCCTAAATACCATCCTGTCAAGATATAAGCGAAGTTATTATTCTTCTTTATGTTCCTAATCAATCATAGTTGTTTGTAAATCTTTGAAATAAATTTTAAGTACCATAAAAAAGAGAAAAAAAGGAAAAATACTGAAGAAATGATATCAAAGGACTGGTAACTTTTACCACCACGAAGTTTCATATAGTGGGCGACTTTAGCAAACTCGAGGCAGATATCAGTGATATCGTGGGTGAATATAACAAGTGCTGCAATTTTGTAGTATCTGCTCAATTGATGTAGAGATTAATTAGAACGTTTTAATACATACGTCTGGCGAAATTATGATCCTCCTTTCTAAAAAATATATCTAGCCTATAATAAGTAGCTTACCTAACAGAATAGGAAAAAAAAAGCAGCGAATCAGCAACTGCATGATGTATAAGCATAACCCACGTATCTTTCCTTCTTTCGTCCATGTATAAGGTAGCGTAAAATGAGTGAACATAAAAAGATCCTTGAATAAGATATAATATCTTAAAATCCGTAGGAACATCCATTCCTCTTTTGAAATCTGCGAGTTAGAGATTAAACTTAGTTTTAAATCATATCAATCACGTAACACTAAGATAAGCGTATATCCACTTACCTTTAAAGCAATTAGTGGGGTCATCTACAATGTTGTAGCCAGCTTCCATAACTAAATAATAACAATAGCCCCATGATACCAAATAAAATGCAAATTTCCACAAACTTTCGGGGAATTTTCTCTTATTCAATTCTGATAGTTGAAGATAATTTGCCAAGGGCTGCGAAGATATCATTATTTATTAGTAAGTTACGAACTACATGTGGACTATCGTTTGTTGTAATTTGTAAAATGAGTCATAATAAAAAACAATTTCACATTAATATTCTACGTCATTTTCAGATTATGTAACTGATATATTATAATCTATCTTTCAAATCTAATGACATTAGTTTGCGCTAGTCATTTGTTATACAAAGCTAATGGATTTGTCTTGCTACATAATCGAGTTAATATAATTAATCAATACCCCTCACTGCGATTCATCATTTCGCTATTTATTTACTGATTACATAGATACTTCACAGAATAAAAATCATATGGTGCGTGATGTCCTCCATAGACTGTTACAAACTAGCCAATCAGTTATTAAATATAATATTACATTGTAGCTAATAAGTGTGATCAAACTGACCGATTTCCGCACAGGTACAGTTACGATATGATTGTGGTAAACTTCCCTAGCTATATACTATACTCGTACTCGTATAGTATGTGCTAAGCTTTTCAATATCTGGGTTAACAGTAGTTTACTGAAATTAAAATTATACGTTATAGCAAAAATTTTAGGTACGCTGTTCATCGAAATGTCACGTCACGCCTCTACGGCATTTATAACTGTAAGTGGTCCTCTATACTTTGGCACGAATGGTAATACTAATTAATTCTACAAGCGTTCAAAGATCATAGGACTCAATTTAATGTAGAATATATTTTACGTTCTCTCCAGTATGTAGTGCAGTACTACAATTCACTATAGTGGTCTACTGAAATGAATTGTAATGTGAAGTTGGTGTGCCATAGTAATCATCTAGTTATTAGGACAGAGCCCGAAGGAGGTATCGATCCTAAAAGCATTGTCGTACATGTAGTAGTAATCCATGCAGAGGAATTACCATCAGTATATCAACCTCTTTTCTTACAGTGTGAATTATCAGGTCTTATCATTTGGCATAGTTATGTATGCAGTCGCATTGGCTTAATGTATGTGAAACATGTTTTATTCTGATATATATAACTTCCATAACTATCATAACATTACAAATTCTCCTTATTCATCAGCATCTAGTAAGAATCAAGCGAAACTTAGCATGATAATCACATGTCCACATTATCTGCCCTAACTCTACTTTCAATCAAATGCCCTTATATTTTCGAAATTTGGCTTTACGAGATTAAGAAGTTAACAATAAGGATACACATTAAATTGCGATCGTTAATCATTTCAATGATATGCAATTGCGAAGGTACAATTGTTATATACTGTGCTCATTGTAAAGAATATGATATGAACTACTGTATATAGTACAGTATACTTTAACTTTTTTATTATTACCCTATTTTAGTGTACGTATTACGTATACAGAATGACCTACAGTTACGAATGGGAATTAGCTACCTTTCTTATTAACAGGTAAGTCAGCATTTCATCACTTTACTTTAATAATACCATGAAAGACTACAAGAAAATTTTGTACTTTGGATAAAAAGATTTCACTAGAAGTTACAGTGATTCTTCCATATGTCCATGAGAAGTAAATACATACGGGCAATAGGCTTCACATGATTGAGGTTATTATATACTCATATAGTGCTGTATTGGATCATCGAGTGTATTCACTATGCGATTCTCGTACTAAATCGGTTTTTGATACGCCGGTATAAAGTCATTTTATAGCAATCCTTTTCTAATTAAATGATAAACCAAGCAATGATTCAACCAAAACACGCGTTTTAACGATATTTCTAGAATAAACATTCAAGTCTGCCGAACCCTACTACGCAGTTACTGTGAATCCGTGACTACTATACACCTACTCAGTATTTTATTGAATAGGGCTAAAGTACCGCACTCGCTGGAATATGCTTCTAATGCATTCTGAGGGGATCTAGATTTCAGTTCAAGTCTTAACTTTACATCGTTCAAATTTAGATTCTTTAAGTTATCTCATTTTATTCAATATTCAATAGCTTGCATGAACTATTATGATAATTGGCCTAATTTAGCGTGTTCGAATCTTTGATCTTTCTATTTTAAAGTTTTAGTATGAGCTTTAATTAAAGAAGTAAATAAATTAAGGTTAATTAATTAGTTGTCGATGGGTAATGGGTATTTAAGCGGTTTACTCAATAGGAAGATACTAATGCGTAGCTTTCACTTCTGATTTTAGTACAAACTACACCAAGAATGTGAAATGTGACTGGATAATTGCACCGTTAGTAAAATATCTTTTCAGAATCCGGATGTAAAAATGATTGATTGTTGGAATCAAGAAGATTAGGCTCACACTACAGTAATAACTTGAAAGTATCGTATCAATCAGGCGTTCAAACAAAGTTAGCTAGTCTACTCCCCAATCCACTCTTCTTTACGGATTTTTGGGGAAAAATTTCAGGGTAAATTGACAGAGGAAGAAAGTGAGATTCCATGAAGCTTTACTGTGTCCATTATACCCAATAGCGCATACGATAATTCAATTTTAATGTAGAGTATGTAAAAGAACAGCAGCGTCTACACATTTTCAACTTGCCTCGTTACTGAAACCTTACGCGTAAGACGTATGTTCAAAAAGCGAGTATCAGCTACTTCAACTGTATACGATTGGAATACATCAAGTATAATTAGCGAAAATTATAGTTTCAGCTTGTTGGTGAAATTATGAAGATTTTCGATTTGCTGATTGTATAGTGTGATGTAATATTTGAAAACATTTTAACTAAAATAGATTGATCATTAATGGACGCGTTTATGAAAGATGGGAGAAGTCATAGGTGATGACAAGAAAGTAACTTGTTACGTTTCGGCTACTCTACCTGCAAGAAGGTATCGGCAAAAATGACAGGTAGTTACTAGATCATTTCATTGTATACTACAGTACGATTGTATGTTCATGCAGGATTTTAGTGTAGACGATTTTTGAGTCGGTGAAGGGCACTAAAGGCGTTGAAATTCAAATCTTACTGCAAACTCATTCTACTGTATTGCGCGATCTTCAATGTTCATCTTCTCAGCCAGTTGATCACATACGGTGGCTAACATAATCGTATCCTATGGATCTTGCTTGAGAAGTTGGTCGTACAAAAGACGATACCTGTTTGTCTATAATGTAGCAATCTAAACTTATTGGCGAACAAATGGCAAACAGAAAAATAAAAAGAGGAATATCATTCAGCAGCGATGAGACTTGTAACTAACTACTCGTTACTGTAGAAGGTCCATTTCATTTTTTCCATATCTACCCAACGATACAGTTCAAAAGAGTGAATACTATCGAAATTTCAACAATTTCAATACATAACACTGTAACTGTATTTTACTATCAGTCTCTCTCTCTCTCTCTCTCTCTCTAGGCACCACTACGACGTTCTGTACAGTAGAACTAGGGAGGAAAACTGTGAAAGGCATGAAGATGGCTTTGGTGAATCTTGATTAACTTAATGGCAACGATTGGGAGAAATGGGTATGAACAGATTTGTATTGATTTGCGATCGGATTAAGCTCGTTTGCCTTCAAAAGATCGCATTGTCCGTAGGGTTCCAACACCACCTTTATACACGTGTAACTGTACCGAATGTATAGGTAACTATAGATACTGTACTGTATAGAATACAGTATCCATACACGCAGGCATAGATTGTACACTCAATCCATGTACTGTACTGTAAACTATTTCGTATCATCCCATTTTGGATCATCATCGATCGTATAAAATAATGATATCAAATCAAATTGAAACAGTTGATTAAGCCTACATTCAGTTTGATCTCAGTATTATTGAGTTGGAGCAATACTTACGACTGAAATGTGGACAGTAAACAAATAACGGACAAGTGTTATCGCAATAGCAGCCAGTAATACAATGAAAAGTTCGTCCATTTTGAAATAAGAATAGTGCAGGAATTCGTCCAGAAAACCGGCTTTCCATTTACCGTTAGCCATTCGCGAATCCCATAGCGATATCGCTGTTTGATAACATTTAATAAAAACTTTTAGTAAATTAGGCTCCTCGTCTATAGGAGGTAAAGCCTTTAAAACTTCTTCCTCGTTATACTGGATAATCGTCATTTGTAAACTCAACTTCTCCTCTCAAGGCTGTCCGACTTGAATGGGCGCCTGCGTTAAAAATCACCCCATCACATGTTGTCATCTCAGCAGTCGTTGGCGATCGATACTGTATCCAGTACAGTACATTGTACAATGCTGTACCGTGTTCACTGAGTCGTACTGTACACTGTACACTGTAGAGGATGTACTGTAGACTCTTTGAAAGTGTGTACAGTACACTGTCCTGTATTGCTACAGTATTACTGGAACTTAGTCTTTACTGTACTTTGTACACTACAGTACTGTAAGTGTGACTCGCCTTTCTGTACTGTACTGTACAGTGTGCAATCGATAGTTTTCTACTGTATACAGGCGTTAAGACTGCATTTCTACGGTATCTTGAGTGAAAATATGAAAGTCGAAAAGGAAAACTTTGTCCATCATTGCTTCTAACAAATATTGCCAATTTGAAATTGAACTGTGATATCTCTGTTTTAGTGAAATGATAGTAACAAGGACGTTAAGCCCGTAGAATACTCATAGTGACCATCATTGCTTCTAACAAATATTACCAATTTGAAATTGAACTATGATATCTCTGTTTTAGTGAAATGATAGTAACAAGGACGTTAAGCCCGTAGAATACTCATAGTGACCATCATTGCTTCTAACAAATATTACCAATTTGAAATTGAACTGTGATATCTCTGTTTTAGTGAAATGATAGGACGTTAAGCCCGTAGAATACTCACAGTGACCATCATTGCTTCTAACAAATATTACCAATTTGAAATTGAACTGTGATATCTCTGTTTTAGTGAAATGATAGGACGTTAAGCCCGTAGAATACTCACAGTGACCATCATTGCTTCTAACAAATATTACCAATTTGAAATTGAACTGTGATATCTCTGTTTTAGTGAAATGATAGGACGTTAAGCCCGTAGAATACTCATAGTGACCATCATTGCTTCTAACAAATATTGCCAATTTGAAATTGAACTGTGATATCTCTGTTTTAGAGAAATGATAGGACGTTAAGCCCGTAGAATACTCATAGTGACCATCATTGCTCCTAATAAATATTGCCAATTTGAAATTGAACTGTGGTATCTCTGTTTTAGTGAAATGATAGGACGTTAAGCCCGTAGAATACTCATAGTGACCATCATTGCTCCTAATAAATATTGCCAATTTGAAATTGAACTGTGGTATCTCTGTTTTAGAGAAATGATAGGACGTTAAGCCCGTAGAATACTCATAGTGACCATCATTGCTCCTAACAAATATTGCCAATTTGAAATTGAACTGTGATATCTCTGTTTTAGAGAAATGATAGGACGTTAAGCCCGTAGAATACTCATAGTGACAATCTCACGGTGCGGTCAGTACGTCGGTGCATATACGTACAGTACACTGTGATCATTTTAGTTAGTGATACTGGACCATTGCAGCTCAAGATCCTAAACTGTTGCTATCATCGACTTCCAATTGTGTGTGTGTACGCAAATAAGGAATAGAATAAATAAGGCAATTCGATATCATGAACTTTGAATGAAGACTGGGAAATAGGCTTTTACTTGAGTAGATTGATCTACAGTATACTACAAAAAATTAGACTTTTGCATGGGTTCTACGCGTGCATGGGCTTCATTTGACTGCACACTTTTCAGGGCGAGAGGCAAAGCCCAGGCAGCGTATTCGGTTAAATCGAACAAAGTTCAAATGCAGAATAC